GGACCTTTTGAAAACCAGCAGCCGGTCACATAACAACAGGAAGTGATATCTGCGTCCGTAGTGTGTTGATAAGGAGAAAGTGCTCCTGTTATATATTTTTCTACATGAACACATTTGTTTCCTTGCAATTATGGCATATTTATTGGTTGTAAGTTGCATAATTTGGATGATCTTTTCTAGTAGAAGTTGTAAGGTTTTGCTTAATTTAGATGGTCTTAATTGTAGAAGTTGTAGTGTTACATAATTTTGATGGTCTTTCCTAGTCGAGGTTGTAATGTTTAGCATAATTTGGATGGTCATTTGTAGTAGAAGTCGTAAACTGTAGCATAATTTGGATTGTCTTTTCCCGTAGAGGTGTAGTATGAACTGTGTTTTTCGTAGATTGGAGGGAGGATTATTTTAAAGGTTTTTCAATCTTTTGACTCTGGCGGCACGTGTATCCGTGACTGCCCAACTGGGTTAAGAGTTGTGTAAACAAATCTTCTTATATGATAACGAAGTGTTGGACTAAACGTGACTGCCAAGAATTTGAATCATGTTTAAATCATAAACATTGATGTAGGTTCAATGACTTAATCAAAGTTAATTATGTAGTAATTTCGATATGGGATATCCTTTTTCTATGAAAAAGTCGTCGTTGATTTTAAGAAAAAGATTGTATGAGGAATATATACGCTTGATATAATTTTTACTCCCAAAAAAATATTCCTTTAGGAAACTCTCAGGTACTACGTTATAATTGGGAAAAAGTTTTTTTTATATTTTGTTCCCTACCTTTTTTGTATTCAATCATTCTAAACAGCAAATACAAAAATTAATCATGACATTATAATATTTTTATGTTTGCATTCGCACATTAATAACTGGTAATAAATAATATTTAAAAATAGAATTGTTTTTACAATAGCTTATCTAATAAAAAAAAACATAAATCGTTTATTAGTAGCTGTCAAAGCTATCGGGCTTTTTTCCTCTGAGATACTAAAGTAGTCTGCTTAGTTACAAGATAAATGTTTTGTAAACATCATTAATTTTATTTTAATATGATTAATCTCCAATAATTCATGAACTATGTAATCTAGAATTCTTACAATTATACTGACACGTAAGATAATTTCAAATGTGCACGTGTGACATGACATTTCCTGCACAAAATAGACCAAGAATTAATCAGATATAATACAACACTGATAGAGTTTCTGCTACAATAATTTTACCAAAGCAGCCCCTGTGAAAGTAGTAAAAAGTGTACCCCTTTCCGTCGTTTGCTTCAGTAAACAGACAAAAAATATAATCTACACGTATATACACGTCACAGGGCGGATTTTTACTGAGCGTACGATTCCACATTACTAACTTGCTTTAGATATAGACGTGTGGAATTATGCACCGTGAGAACCATGCCTTGTAGAAATAAAATTATTCATTTTAATACATTTTTAATCCCTAATTTGCATCTACATACATTACGTATAACTTTCTAGAAAATTCATCGCTATCAAGTTCTCGTACACTATCGACAGCATTCAAAACTGGGTCACTAGATTAGACAAGTGGATGATACACCATTCATATATCGCGTTTATTAATTACTAGCTGTCGACTGTGACTCCGTTCGGAATTAAAAAAAAAGCTCATGTGTTCTCCCAAAACTATGTACATATATGGCAAAATTTCACGGAGATCCGTTAAGTAGTTTAGCAGATACTTTCTAACAAACATCCATTCATACAAACGTTCGCAATATGGTTTTCTAGACTTCGAGAAAGTAACTTTTCGGGTATTATCTTCGTTAATTTTTAAAACCTAGCTCGATGAATCGAATCATTACAGTATAACATCCATTAAAACACAAAAAATCCCTCATATAACAATTCTGGACACATAATTAATAATTAAATACCACTATTACAAAAGTTGTCAGAGTTTATTTCATTACATTTACATTAAAACTAAAAATATTGATTATCCTCAAATTGTTTTCGGTATTATGACTTGTATCAATAAATATTACCTGATTTTAAATTAGTAAATTCAACGAAATTTCGATATTTCCACCTTAAATGAAGCATAAAATAATTTATTTGCATTAAAAATACATACAATTAGGTTTATTTAACTAGAAACAATTAGTCAATATTAAACATGTTTAAGCAAATAAACAGTGTTTTATCTAACAAATTATAAAAGTTTGTACATTTTATTATGTAGTTTAAAATTTTATTTACTGGAATAGACAGAAATCATAAAATATAGTGTAGTTTTCAAGATAAATTAAAGAAAAATTATTAGAATAGAGATTAACAGAAAATTAATTAACTAATTAAATCAGTAATGTTTTTCACAACATAAACTATCACCCAACTTATCTAAATACTCATTGTTACACAAAATATTTAACGATTTAAGGTAATGACAGAATCTATTATTTCTTTTACTACTTAAGTCAGTTTTGGACCTTTCCGATCTGCATATACTACGACAACCTGACCAATAGTCCAAAGCAACTGATCTACGGTCCAAAACAGCTGCCGGGTTCAAATAACTAGTCAAGCTTTTATGTCGATGTAATATTTTGTCACGATCTCTGAAAGAAACAAATAAAATCAATAAATACATGAACAATAATTTAATGTCTTACATAAAAAAATAAACATTAAATGACTATTGATTTGTAACCATTTACTTTAACCCATTTTCAGAGGAAAACTTTTTTCTTTAACCTATGCTCTTGCCCAAGGAAAATGTAAACCCAAACTGGAATACACTATGTAGGTTCCAGTATTTCTGTTTTCCAGTTGTAATAAAACACTGGATTCTGAACTGAATTATTGTAAACAAGCATAAAGAAATTAAAATAAATTTACACATCTACAGGGTAGACAACAAAATGCTTACCTTTGCAAATTCATAGAAGGAAACTCTACATCAGTTCTCTGCTCATATTTTAAAACTCTTTGTGCATGCTTAATGTTGCTAGTCATCAAAAATTGTGATATATCTTGTGTTACATCATAATTTCTATCATAGTGCCCAAAATTTTCGTTTTCAATCAAACTATCGCTTCCAGGAGAGAACCATGGGTTTGACGTAATATCAGCATTTAAATCTCCTGTCCTACTTTGGAACATATCAAGAACTGAAAGGGTATCTATTACTGATGTTACTGTTTCTAATTTCAATATACCATTTTGTTTCTCATTTTCCTTTCTACAAGATTTGTCTATATCATGGTTGAAATTTAAAAGTTCAGGTAAAGTCCACCATACATTAAATGTAAGGAATGGTAACGGATGTTGCAAATTTATCTGCTTATCCATAAAATATTGTAAACTTGAGTTACAAATTATATTAGAACTTGTAACTCTATCTTCAAGTTCCTCATTAACAGCCCATGACATACTTGAACCTTCATCATCCCCTGCCTCTATAAAATCATATCCTTGAGATGCATTTTCTTGTTTTAAAATATGCCTATGTGATGTCATATAGAATTGCAAACAATTTATTGTCTTTCTTATGTCGCCTTTAAAAAAATCTAAAAGCTTAGCTCCTAAACCAGGATAGCAAATGCTACTATCAGCTAAACACATAATATCTAGCCATGTCCCAAGCATTCTGGGTAGGAAAGGTTGCAGATTTATAACTTGGCTGTATTTCAAGAATTTTTGCAGATGGGAACAATTCACTGATTCAGCTATTAAAATAACTGGGCGTTTAGAACTATGCACAAGTTGTGCTATTGCAGAACAAAATCCATCATCTTGCTCAAAAACTATATCAGCATCATCAATTAAAATAAGAGACATAACAGTCCTCATACTTTCTTGACTTGAAAATGGTTCACTATTTGAGTCTTTCTTTGAAGAAATAGACTTCTGAGATAAATTCTCAAGAGTCTGCTTTTTAGGTCTCCCACGTTTTTTAATCTGTGGTATGTTAGCTTCAACATCTACTGACTTCTGAGAACTTTCAATGCCATCCCTCTGTCTGTTTACTTTATGGGACTGTGTTGCTTCCTGTAAATCTTGCAGCATTATTTTACCTGTTCTTTTACTACTGGCATTAACTTCAATAACTTTAATTGATAACTCAGATGCAACAGCATAAACACTGGATGTTTTTCCGCTACCTGTCTTTCCAGTCAAAATAAGCAGATTGTTCCTCATTCTTTTAACATCTCCGCTGTCAGTGTCTGAATAGCAAAAGTCAGATGAATCGGAATCTTTCTGTTCTGGTACATAATTTTCAGTCCAAGATATCAACCATTTCCTCAGTTCTTTAATACTTTCGAAGTTTCCTATTATTTGTTTTGTTGATGTTGCCTTATATTTATCTGTCCATTTTAATTTATCCGGATTGTCACTACATGCATCTGATATACCATTGATTATTTCAACACTATTATCTAAATAATTACAATGTGGCTCTCCAATTTCTCCTCTACTTTTAGCTTTTAAAGAATTATAGGTGCGGTAAACAGGAAATTTTGAATACTGGTTCTTCATTGTTTTTAATAATGTTTTAACATTGTTTTTAATGTCTAATGTATTAACATACTCATTATTAGTGTTTAACATTAGTAAGTTTTTATAGAAATCAGATGATATATTAGTGTTGTCCATTACAAGGTCGGAATCTAACAATGGTAATGAAAGTATGGTGCTTTTTGTATCATGATTTAGTTCAATCTGTTGAATATGAACCACTGGTAGAAAACTATTACTACTTGATGTCCTAGTCACTTGTTGTTTATTGTTTTTCTTTACATGATTTGGAATTCCACTATGAAGAAATTCTTGTTTAGCTTTTAGCTCCTCTGCAGTCAATTGAGGTTTCGGAGTAAATATTGGGGCTAATTTTAATGGCTTTTTAACTGGTATACTTGATGAGGTAGTATTCTTTTTTTTAGATGTTTTATTTGGATATTGTTCTATACATTTAGTTGTCTTATTCTTCACTCCTAGTGTATCTTCATTGCTAATAATTTTCATTTGTTCAATATTACTTATTGAGCCTTTTTTCTTTTTTGGTGTGAAAATATGGAATTCTTCATCTGAACTTGATACAGCATCCTCATACTTAATTGGTTTTTTGATATTTCTTTTAGGTCTAGAATCAGTTGATGACACTTCCAGAGAGCTAGCAAGTTCACTTTCATTGACATGTTTTTTTCTTTTTCGCTTTTTTCTGTCACCTTCCTTACACTCAATTTTATTAGTTGGTAATATAACATTTTGTGTATCATCATTACTATCAATAATCAAAACTGGAGTTATATCATCAATATTCTTTTCTTGTTTCTTTTTCTTTTTACTTTTCGATGTAATTTTCACTTTAATAATTGCTTGTTCATCTACCCTATCATTATCACTTTCATTAACAACAGATTCACATTCAATTTCTTTTGTGACTACATTGAAATAACAAAGCATATTTTCTTTTTTTCTAATGGACGGTGACAATATGTTCAAAAACTCCACTTCTTCTTTAGATATATTATTAGTAAGAGTACTATCTGACAAACTAGATTTAGGAAATGATTTAGAATTGTTAATAGATTCGCTTATCTTTTTAACACCATTTTCAGACTTCAGAGGTTGATTCAATTTATCAACTTGTGGCTCAGGAAGGGACTTCTCATGGGCATTTTTACTTGAATTTGAATCAGGTTTTGCTATCATATTTCTTAGCCTTTCTGCTCTTTTTGCCATTTCTTTTTTAAGGTATTTTTCTCTAGATTCCTCCTGTTCCTGCTTCTGTAAGGCCCCTTTAGCCTGAGCCATTTTTTTCAGTGACAAAGTCCTTCTAACTTTGAGCTCTTTCTTTTCAATAACTTCTTGTAATTCATTTTCATCTAAAATCCTTTCTTTGCCTGGTGAATTAGATCCTATTACTTTATTGCGTGAATCCATTAGAACTTTAAATGCATCTGTTTGATTTTTAGATTCTAGAGAATGTGTAGGACTTATAGTTTTTGGATCAAGCTCATCAGGTTTTGTGTGCAAATCTTTTTTTCGCCTATGCATTATAAAACTTTGCTTGACTCTGGACGGCTTTAAGTTACTTTTTACACCAGTAGTGGTACTCATTTCGTTATTAGGTGACTTGATGATTAATGAAGTAATGAATGTTTGTGATACATCTATAATTTCTTGATCTTCCACTCCATCTTTCCTGAGCTTGTACTTTTTAAGTTTTCTCTTAAGCGTTCCGTCACACTTCGGCTTTAAAATGTTCCTGCATCTCAACACAGCTCTATCCTTGCGCTTTATGATATTTTTAAACGATTCGGCTTCTTGTTTTGCTTCTTCGATAAAAACAGTATCCAAACAAATTGACATAACTTTATACAATGGTTAAGATGTGCCGTAGATAGTATTTTTATACCTTACGTATCATGTGCAAATTGTATGTTCTTCGTTAAGATGCATTTTGAAATATTCGACAAGTTTCATGTGTTCAATCACATTTTAACTTTTTAATGCCTTAAAGCATTTAAATACTTGCTGACGAGGAACTTAACACCTGACCTTATTACTTTATAAGTAAAATACAAAATAACATTCATGAATAGAATTTGGCGCCTTCGTTTCCGAAGGCTTCATACGACTTTGACAATGACAATGACAATTTAAGTTGTTTTTTTTTCGTTTACAAACTCTATTTTAACGTTGACTTTTTGTTGTGTGTGACGATTATGAGATTCTTATAGTGTAAACATGAAACTTTTGCATTTCATTAGTCATGTATTTGTATCGATTACTTAATAAATAGGCAAAAAACATAAAAAACCTATATTATCTTTGTGCCATTTTCGACTTTTGATAAATTGACATTGACAGTCGTCTTCAATAAGGCCTCTTGCTCGCGGAGCGTAGAATTTTTGCCTACTAGATTTTCTTCAGTATCTTCCGAAATCTTATAAAAATGTCATCGAAATCACTTGCTACCCCTTTTATTCGTCATGTAACGGTAAGTGATCGTTATCTATTTGTATTTAAATTAAAAAGCTTTGAAGTATAAACTTGATTCCTTATGTCAAACCCCTGTTATGTAAAACCTTTAATTTCATATTATCGTAATTTATAGATCATATGTTAACTCGATCGTATCTTGTTCTGATATAATGCGTTAATACATTTCAGAGCAGGGGATATGCGCAAACAGCTCCAGCTGCGAAGAAAGAGCCTAAACTTCAGACAAGTGTTTTACCAAATAAAACATTCGTCGCTGCATTCAACAATGGGTCTCCTGTTACTCGCGTGACGATTGCCTTTAAGTAAGTTATTGCAACTAAAAGTGTATTCTAATAATTATTAAGTTTCATATTACATTATGTGAATTTTGTGTTCTCAGGGCAGGTTCCCGTTATGAACCTCAGACTGAATTGGGTCTCGCCCACGTTCTACGTTCTGCTGCCGGTCTGTCTACAAAGAATTCGAGTGCATATATAATCCGTAGACAACTCAATCAAATTGGTGCATCTTTCACGGCATCTGGAGACCGTGAATTTGTTTACTACACTGTTGAAGTAAGTATTTTAAGATTATTTATAATTATAAATTGTATACAAACTAGAAACAATATTATTGACTTATTTTTTTTAATAATGTAATCTTACTAATACTTTAACGGTGAAATTTTGGATGGTTGAATGTTTGTTCCTACATATCTCCAGAGTGGCTCTAGGAACCTTGCTTAAATTTAAGGTAGACCATAGTATGAAAGAACACTTGCTAATAAGAGTACTTGATAAGTTTTTTCTGCATTGTATTTAGAAGTTGCAGGTGGCAACTTGCATATTGATATATGTATCTCTTTTTAGGCTACTCAAGACAACTTAAAAACAGCGCTGGAGTATCTTAACAAGATTGTATCAAACCAAGAGTTTCGTCCTTGGGAGCTGACTGACAATCTGCCACGACTGAGATATGATATTGCTGCTCTCCCACCTCAGGTACTAGTCCTTGCTAATTATAATAAATGAAATTTTAAAAACACTATATTATTGTTTACATTTATGAAAATTATGACTACCATATATAAATTATAATAATCTTGCTTCCTTGCTAGCTTGTAGTTTATGGTCCCTTATGTACATGAAGGTTTCTTCAATTTATTTACCCCCTAAGTTTAATAGCATGAAAATATATAGCCTAAAGCATGTAGTAAGTGTAGGGCTCTTTGTTAAAGAAAGAATTGTTAAAAAGTAAGCTATGACATCCTACCCCACTATAGTACACAAACAAAGTAGTGTGTGTTTATGCTTTATTATATTAGCAAAGATAAGGTAAATATTGATCAACAAATTATAAATACCCAGTCAACATTTAAATGGATTTGTCTTTCCCTATAGCACATTGTTGAGACTTGAAGGGCATGTATGCCACATTTAAACTGTAAATATGTGAACATAACATCATTAATTTTTTTATTTATAACATATTAATCTTGTGCTAAATATTCAAAAACTATGTTATTGATATAGGTCCGTGCAGTAGACCTGTTGCACAAGGCTGCATTCCGTCGTGGACTTGGTAATTCCCTCTTCATTGCACCCAAGAAGATTGGGAAAATCAGCTCCGAGTCGCTCCAGCATTTCGCGAGCAACAACCTGGTACCAAATCGTTGTGCCATTACTGTTTATGGTGAGAGCCAGGTAAATAGAAAATTCAAATATTTAATATGCAATTTTAGTATTTAACACACCATAGCAATTATCTTGTATGAAAATAACAGAATTGGAGATAGCTATTTGTCAGATGAAATAATTTGAAACTCATATGTATGTGTACATACTCATATAATGTAAACTGTGTGAAGATAGTTCATTAAATAAATAATGGCATTTTATTATAGGACACAGCCTGCCTCCTTGCGGACAGTCTTCAACTTTCATCATTAGTTCAAGAATCCAAGAACGACACTACCTACTATGGTGGAGAGTTAAGGTAAATAAAAATGAAATACAATTGTATTTAAGAAGAATTATTCCATTCATTTAAATTGTGATTAAAATTAAATAGTTTAAATTTATCCAATTATTGAGGTTTGATTGATAATCTTAGGAAGGAGATGGGTGGTGATCTTGCCCATGTTGCATTGGCCCTACAAGGTGCACCGGCAAGTATCCCACAATCTCTTGCATTGGCTGTTGCTGCTAAAGGTAAGTAAATATTCTACATTTTGACCAGACAATCAAACCAGTGTGGGAAAAAATCCTAGTGGGCTGATCAGCCCAATGGCCAAGGCACTAATCAACCCAAAATCGTTAGTAGTCTGGCCTTACTTTTTCTGAAATTAAAAAAATGTAGCCTAGGTTACAGTTAAATTACCTTTTTAATGATGAAACAATGTTTAATTTGAAAATAAAATCCAATCTTGTCCAAGTTCAGTAGTTTATATGTAAATCAAATGTATACAAAAATACAAATCTTCCTTATATTTATATCTAGCTTTGGGCTGTGGGCCGGTAACCAAATGGGGCGCTAACAACTCGCCAGTAGCGAAGGCTGTCGGCAACATTGGGCCGTTTGCTGCGGCAGGCTTCAATGTCTCCTACAGTGATAGTGGCTTGTTTGGAGTCATGCTCTCCGTGCCCAAAGATGAGGCTAATGCCGTAAGTACACCATACTTCAACCGAACCCTACATTAAAGCTGTGTATTATTTCAAGACAAAACTGTTTAAAAACCGGTGAAGTTCTACTTCACAATTGGAAATATGTGTAACTTTTAACTGTAAGTTTTAACTGAAACTTTACAACTATCAATTTTTAACTGTGCAGTTAAAACTGAAAGAGTGTATAAGGGCTAAACTAAAATATAGAACTATTAGTGTGCGTAGTTTGAATGTCGATCCTGAAATCATTGATCAAATTGTTGTAATTAAGAAAAAAAAAATCTCTCTTATAATGAATATATATATGAAAGTGAAGGTTTATTTACTTCTAGGTAAACATAAGCATTTTTTTATAAACATTTGTTTGTCCACAGGCTGTGAAAGCTGTAAGTAACCTCCTAAAGCAGCCTCTGAATGCTGACGCCATCAAGGCTGGTATGAACCAGTTGAAGCTGCAAGTTCTAGCGGAAGCTGAGGACGGCACTTGCATGACAGAGTCCCTGGCCGCTCAGGGCCTGCACAATGGCACTGCTAAGTCACCCCTCGACATCGTCAGGGAAATCGATCAGCTGTCTACTAACGATGTGGCACAAGTAGGTTCTTGAAATCATAGAATACACTAATATTTGCTCGCGATTTTGTCTATGCGACAAAATAATCTATATTATAGTGATAAATGTAGCCTATGTTACTTTCTAATGGTAAAAGGTTATTATTGGTCTGTTATTGAGTTTGTTACACAAAAAACACAAATCTGACCTATTCTATCAGAGATGACATATGCATGCTGATATGTAAACAGCTCCTTTTAATTTCATCTAATCTGAGAAAAATGCTTTAATCAGTAGAAAGTAATTTATTTGTAATGATCATGGTAGTTTAATCATTTCTTAGTAATTTATTATAACTAGCTTTGTTGTAAGACTGTAATATTTTCCATCCACAATTCCAAATGCCTTAATGTGATATTTTTTTTACAGGCCATGTCAAATGCATCCAGGTCTAAGCTATCTATGGGATCCGCAGGCAACTTAGTGTTTGTTCCATTTTTAGATGAATTGTAAATTATTCATTGATATAATGACATTAATTTACTTAGTCCATTTGGAAATTACCATGTTTTGTTGTATATTAAATCTGTAATTTATTTGTTCAGCTGGAATAAAGAGTTGAAAGGACATACTTTTTTATTTATCCATTTGTAATGAGCAAAAGTTCTAAAACATATCAAATTTATTTATCAAGTAATGAACATGCTATAGGATGAGAGCATGTTGGACAGCTACCAGTTGCCACTCCGAAAGCTGGTGGCCTACCTCCAGCAGAAGCAAGGAGCCACTGAAAAAAAGTTGTTTTAAAAAATGTGCATCATACAACACAAGAAAAATATAACAACCTAAAACCCCAACCTCATATAAGCAGCTCCTATGGTAGTAAACACCACAGTTATTATTTTGACAGAGAGGCTGCGGCACACTTGGATCCTGTGGCAACTCCTCACACAGACAAATTGCACAATGTTGTTTTTCCGACATGGTTGCTGGTTCCGAAAAAATTACCTGATGTTTATTTGAAAAACTAGATATATCTGAAACAAAAAAAAAATTTGAACGATGTTCCTAATGTCATAAATAAAATTGTGATTATTAAATCATTACCAAATGTAGACATGATATTGTCAACAATACTTTTATCATGATCCCATGTTAAAAAACCTTTTTGCAACTTATCATTCCAAGATTCAGATTGGCCTATTAGATAAATATTTCTAGCTACACCATCAGGAGTTACTTCTATATGGAGCCAAGTTCTTTCATCTATAAAAATTTAATTTCAATTAATATTTATAGATTTATTTTTAATGGTATCAAACAAAATTATTTTATAACAAACCTAGAGCTATTTTCCGATAATCGTCTTTATAAGAAGGATGTAGTGGATCCATAACAAAACAAAATTGATCAATTTGTTCCAATTCGTAGAAATAATTACTTAAATTGTTTACATGATTCCTGAATGTATCTATTATTTCATTTATATTGTTGTATTCTTCATCTTGATAAGATAAATGTGGTAAATTTACCTTAGTTATCTGAAATTTTCTAGGACCAGAAAATGTTATAAAGATCTCATGTTCTCGAAAACTTTCATCAATTATAACGCATTTGAGTTCTTTTAATGTTTTACCAAAATAAATGTTGACATTATCATCAATATGTTTAATCTCATCTAAGTAAGCTTTGTCAATTTGATCCATATCAATTGAATTTGAAGAACAAAAATTTAAACTGTTTTTATGTAGAAAGAACTTTTCTAAACTGTCTATTAATTGTGTAAAAGATTTATAATTAGTAGGATTAAAAACTTCTCGTATTTCTTTATTCGATTCCATTGAGTGTTCGCATTTAAACTGTATTAAATTGGTATTTAAAAATCTGTAAACGCAAGTCTTGTTTAAATCTAGCCTTATTTATAAATTCTGTATCAAAGTTTTAAACCTGGCAAAAGGGGAAGATGACAATGACAACTATAAAATTGACAGATTGACTGTCACCAATCTGACAAAACTCGTTCAGAAAATAATATATTATAATAGATCGTCACATTAGAATAAAATCATGTCGACTCTAAAGCGATATTTAAAAGATGTTTATGAATTAACGAGCTGTTGCCCGCGACGTCGTCCGCGTGGTATTAGAAAACATACGAACTATATAAATTACAGAAAACTACGTATCGCTCGGGAACGGGACATATCTCGGGGATGAAGCTTATCCCATGTGTACTATAGACTTTGTTTTATATCTGTGCCAAATTTCAAT